TGTGTGTGTGTGGCCAGCTCAGCCCACCAGGGGGCGGGGCTGGCTGGAATGTGGTGCTGGGGGATTGAACCGTGGTCCCTGTGCTTTGCTAAGCTTCTTCTAAGTAGGTGCTTTAGACCACTGAGCCATCTCACCAGCCCACATCTTGCTCTTTTAACCCTAAATATTTCAGCATCTCCAAAAAGATTTTCTTACATACAGTTGTCAAAATCAGTAAAAATGTAACATTACTTAATTTATAGTCCATAGTCGGGTCGTGCCAACTATCCCAGTATGTCCTTTATGGAAATTTGTTTTGATCTAAGATCCAATCCCAAATGATTTCTTGTCCTGTCTTTAGTGTGTCTGGGTTTGTGTGTATCATAAGACAGACAAAATAAGCTTGTTATTGTAACCCCCCTTATTTTGCAGTAATGGGAATTGAATCAAAGGCTTTGCACTGAGCTGCGTCTCATGCTCTATTTAGCCCCCCCCCCCCCAGTCAGGGATAGAACTCAGGACCTTATGCGGCGCTTATGCCACTGCGCTACCTCCCCAGCCCTTATTTAGGCTTTTGTGAGACAGAATCTTCTATATCTGGGACACCTTGGGTGCTACCTCCCAGGGGCCAAGTCACTGCCCTCTGGCCTTCTTGGGAAACTCAACACCCACACTACAGCACTGGGCTCTTTGACACCTGCGATGCCCCTCCTAAGCCCAGCTTTCCCCCCTGCTGCCTCATCCATTCTGCTAGTCCTGTGTGTGGTTCCAGGTCTCCGCTTCCCGCCAATGCTTCTTGTCGGGTGTGATTCTGGCCATCTCACCATGTGTCAGTGCTTCTCTTCCTTTCCCACAGTGTCTCTGAGTATTGTCCAGGTCATCCTGAAGGTGCAGTCCTCCTGCCCCATCACTCCCATCTGGGTTTACAGGTGAGACTGCAGACAGGTGCCACGAAGCCCGGCTCACTGTGGTTTTGCTTTGCATTTACCAAATGAGGAAGGATGTTGAAGGTCCTTGGACATTTGTGTATGTTCTTAAGAGAAACGTTCAAGTCTTTTTTTTTTTTCTATTTAATAAAGATCTTTTATTGTCTCATTAAAATATCAGATTAGCTTTACAATCCAGAAGCTTGTTTCTGCGGCTGGATTAACTCTTGGATCTTACTCATCTGGCTGCTGAACTGTTCCCTTTTCAGA